GGGGGGGGGGATGCCAGCATGGCTGACAGGAAACAGTGCGAGCCCTCATTGGGGAACACGAGTGCCGGCATCAGATTCGGCTATCACGCAATTTGATTTAATTAACAAGCTATATCGAGACTCAAACACCAAGGAGGAAGAGGAAGAAAAAGAGGGAGGGGGGCGGAGAATAAAAAAACTTGTCGGCTTGATTTGGCTGACGAATGACCTAATTGGATACATTATCAACTCATTATCAAAGGCTAATTAGGGAGCTACAGAAGAGTACCAATTATGGAAAAAAAAATGCAAACGACTCAGTAACCCCCCACCACCGTCACCAACAGCAGAAGAAGAGAAACCCCCCCCCCCCCCCACCCCCTACTACCAGTACCACATCCCCCTCAATTTAGCCCGACACTAAAGTGTTTCATTTCAACAAAAGCTCTCTTTTTTTGGAGAAAAAGGCTTGAAGGGCCTCTATTGTTAGCTGGGAAACAATGGGGACTAGAGAGGGTGGAGGTTGGGTGATGGAGAGGGGGGGGGGGGGGGGGTGGGGGGGGGGGGGTATCATGCTGAGAATTTCTAGAAAAGGTGATGCCGTGCATGTTATCTGTTCCTGTGTGTGTGTGTGTGTTTGCATTTTTATCAAGTCGACGGTGCGTTATTGAGTTCTGTGGGCAAGTTAGTAAGTTACAAAGAGTTTGGTGAGGGTGGGGGTTGCCCTCATTAACCCCCTCCACCTCCACCCAATCAGCCAACCAGCAGGTTAAAGCAACAACACAACCTAATTAGACCAAAGGACAGAGCGAGAGGTGAAATGTCAACGTGCCCTCTCTCTTTCTCCTCTCTCTTTCTCCCTGGCAGACAATGACTTGCTGCTCTCTTGGTCGCTGAGGCAAAAAGTGCTTGAAGCAGCTTGTTGTGAAAGAGCATTAACTTTGTTACAGATCTGGGATGACAAGGATTTGTAAGTATCTGTTGTATTCTGTGAACCAGATATGTGGAGATTTTCGTCACTGCCGCCACAAAAGGACTCGCACATGCTCTTTAATTCTGTCAAATTAGTTTTAAAAAGCGGTGAAGGAGTCAAAGCGGAAACATCAAAACGCGTCTTAAACGGCGTTTTGATGAGTGTTAAATCATCCTCATGCGTGAGAAGCTCTTAGAAAGATCTCATCTGCACGATTAGAGGAAAAAAACTGAAAATAAACAGAGGGCAGAGTGTTCATGCATAGCCTCTGGCCACCAGGAGAGCCTGAGATGCAGCTAAATGGATGAGCGAGCTGCCTCCATAATTGGGAAGGTTTATGGTGGTGGTCGTGCAGACACTGGAGAGAAACAGCAGAACTGGACAACTTCACACAAACCTCACTCAGCTCAGCTTTTGAGCCTTACATTGAGGCCAACTATGCAAACGGCATGTAATCGGACAAATCCTATTTAAAATTAGCTTAAAAAACCCAACAAATCCAACTTTATGTTTATCTAATGCTTTAAGACATGCTGATGAGTTTATAAGTTCTAATTAGAAGTGTTTTTTTTTTGCTTTTACGTCTTAAATTCCCATTTCATGTTCCACTGTTATTTCTGACAATTGTTTCCATCCTATTCCTGTATTATTTCTAATGAAATCTGTTACATCTGTATGAAAATTATTCTTAAGGTGCATAATTACCAGTTTCTTTTGTCTCCACCTTGTCTGTGACCGGCTGACTCCACCCCCTGAAGTCAGATTGGCCCCGACATTCAAAGTGTTTTTATGCTTTTTCTTGCTCTTTACCTTTATAAGCCAAAGATCAAACACAGCCCCTTGATTTCCCTTTGTCCTACCTTTTTGGCTCTTTAAACTTTTAGGCATTTATGATTTAGCTCGCCATCTATACCACGACCTCCAGTCTCCCCTCTGCCTTCTTTTTTCCTTTGCACTTTTTCAAGGTTCAAAAGCTTGACTCCACCTTTTCAATTCGGCTTCCCAGCAGTCCTGCTTAGCTGGGAGGGAACTGGAACCAGAGCTATCAGAGGGATTGTGACTGTGTGTGTGTGTGTGGGTGTGTGAGTGTGTGTGTGGGTGTTGGTGAAGCGTGGAGCAAAGGGGGCCCCATGAAAAAAGGGGGTCAGACGCCCACAGGAGCATTTTAGTGCAGAGTGCAAGAAACAACGAGGTGGACGGAAGATGAGAGGGGAGGAAAAGGGCGAGCCGAGGCAATGGAGGTTGTGAAAAGACAGGGGCCCACACTGAGATCACACCTGCTCTCTGACACGCTGCACACTCACGCACACACACACACAATCAGACACACGCCTGTATGGGTTACAAGTCATGTGCAGATGCAAGAAACAAGGGTTGAACAGTGAATGAACACCTAAAACAGGCTGCAGCATCCGCAGTGAGACGATAATAACAGTCCGGAGAATCCACTGATCAAAGAATACAGCATGAATGCTGTGCGTTTAAAAAGAACAATCTGAGGTTATATTTAGACGGATTATGGAAAAAATAAGTCTTCAAGATCTAAGAAGAGGTCCATTTGCCTTTACTTAAGCTCTTAGGATTGTTGTCTGATACTTTTGATTGTTAAAAAATTAAATCAATCCTCTTTAGAAAATGATTTACCACATTTAAATAGGTTAAAAGGGGGTTCTTGGTGATTTTTTAATCACTCAAATGGCATTTAGCAGTCACCTGGCACTCCAAAAAAAATAAAAAAATAAAAAACTGGGGGTCTTTTTGAATGAGTGCCAGCACTAAATGTGACTTCTGACATCATGAGATCGGCCCAATTCTCCATTTACCACTCTTATGTGAACATCCTCAACAGACAGATGATTACGAGGAAACCTCATAGTCTGCAAACTTTCTGTCAGAATTGAAGCAGTTATGAAACACAACATAATCAATAGCACTAATGGTATGAAAGTCCAATGAGTTACATTAATTTCATAACCATTTTCTTTCATTTAGAAGTCATATATTGCCTTTGTTGTATTTTCTACATCTCAGGCCAAAGGATTTAAATCCAGAGATGGTAATTTGTTCTTTTTCTTGAATTCTTTTAGAAATCCGTCTTTGTTCACAGTTTAGGAGAAGAGTCTGTTGCAACTTACAGCTTGTGCCACTAGATGTCATTAAATCCCTCATTAGAAATACGCTCTCCAAAATGTGATACACTGATTATTAACCTTCAGGTGTAGCGCAGTGGGGATCTTTACTATTTTTTTGCATCCTTTGCTTAGTCGAGTATTCAGATTTGATGGCTTTTGATTACCTTTCAGTTTGCACAGTGTAGACTTCTGCTGAAAGATATTTGTAAATCAGACATAAAAGTGTTCACTAACAGATAGATTTGACTTTGGACTTTATCATACCAGCCTATAGAATGAGTTTAATTGTTAGTTATTTGTGGATGAACACGATTATGAAGTTCTTGGTCACATTTAGAAATTAAGATCTGCTTTTACTCACCATGAATAAGTCTCTATCTTCTAAATCCACAGCTAGGAGGAAAGCCTTCTCCAACCGCTGATGCCTACAAAGAAAAAACTAGAAACATTAAAAAAGGACAGAAGACAAAAGCCTGATCATGAACCCAGCTTTCACTCTGAAATGCGTGTTTTGGATGAACAGTTAGAGACGAATAGGTCTTACTATAGTTATCTTTCTTTCCACCTCTGAATTAAAACCGTCAACAGAGAGAATAATGTTCTGTTTTTTTTGTATTATCCAGAATTAAAGCTGGGAGAAAGAGCCACGTCTCCCAGTGCAAAACGCCTCAACTTTCGCCATCTACAGCCAACATGAAACAAACAAACAGGCAGAGAGGGGAGATGCAGGGGGGGCTTCCTTCATTTGATGTTGATGGAGAGAAAAAGAATGCAGGTAGGTGATAAGAGAGGAAGAGGAGTGGGGATGCCAAACGCTGCTCCGGCTCTGCTACAGAGGAGGAAAAAGAAAGGCAGAGAGGGAGGACGGGCGGTAATTGCCGGATGGAGAGCAGCAAGCAGCAGTGTGTGGGAACAACAGGGTCTATTTCAGTCAAACGGGCCTTTCAAAAGGCTCTCATGGCAGAAGGGAAAATGAAACAACAGTCTAAACAGGTCTATGTGTGGTGCTTTGCCTTATGAATGACTCAAAGCTGCATCGGTGCGTATGCAAGTGATGAAATTCAAAAGCTGTTTCCTTTTTAGAGTTTTTAAAATAGAAGGGGTGAGAAGGAAAGTAGCTCTTCTTCAATGGATATCAATTTGTTGGAGATGTCTCTGGACAGGTTTTTTTAAAATTTCTATTCCCCGCATGACACGGATAAATAGAACAAAATGTTCCTGTGGAGCCACAAAAATCATCTCTAAATAATGTGTGGATGCGCTGCTTATTTTAGATAATGACGTGGGGCTTGGTAGAGAAACATATGCTCAGATATTTATATTTCCAGAAATCCTGACCCCTCGAGGAGATGCACAAAGAAAAATTCTCCCTCAGAGCATCAAATTAAGACCCCAGCAGCAGGATGGAGAGGGTGTTGTTACCTGAGCAGGTGGTGAAAAAAGCGCCGGGCGTACTTGCTGATTGGCTCCCGGTACTCCAATATCACTGCATCAGGGAGGGGGGCCGGCGGGGCGTAAAACACCCCCAGAGCTGCTTCCAGCTGAGCTGCAGGAACCATCAGAGTCCGCGTTAACAACATTTATGAGCTTTTAGCTGGATCCTGGTCGAAATGAGGATTAAAAACTGAATGCTAACATCTTGACTGCTACTACGAAAGGTGCATTTAAAACACTTAAAAAAAAATACTTTGTTGAAAGCCTTAATTCATGAATATTTGGGTAACAGATTGTAATGTAAGGTGAAATCATTTTAAATGTATAATTGTTCTTATGATGTTATCATTTTATATGTTTTGTGTATGTCTATAATTTTAAAAGGACCCCAGGAAGAGTAGCTGTCAAATTACTGACAGCTAATGGGGATCCAAATAAATAAACAAACAATGCTTCGCAAATCTTAAAAAACAATATTTCATTCACAGGAGAAGACGGTAAACATATTGAAAGTGTTTTATCATTTAGAAACTTCTGGTTTAATTTGGAGTTAGAAGACAGCACCACATTTAAAGAAAGCGGGAGAGTCAGTGGGATCAAAACGAATCAGATACAGTAAGGGACCAACTAATGAAGTTATTTAGCTGTGACATTAGAGAGGCAGAAAACAGGCAATGAGTTGTGAGATAGGGCAGCAGTATAAGATTTCAGATTGTTTTTTAAAATCATAGATTAACAAAAAATTGTAGATCTTAAAATAACAGATTCCACTAAGCAGAATAAAGAAGGTAGAGGGAACATCCAACTTCTCATCGGAGTTCAGTTCATTGTCTTGTATCTGTGCTAATTAATTAATTTAAATTAATAATTCAAAGCTTGAGCATAAATGTACATCAATTCTAGAAACCGTCGGTCTAACATAATTAAAATGATTGAAAGGAGCTAACGTGCTGCCTCTCGGTGGTTAATCTGCAGGTACCACCACACCCACCTTCCCTCTCCGCGTTCAGCTGCAGCCTCAGCAGGTGGTCACTGATGGAGATCAGGCCTCGGTAGCATTCGTCCCCCATAGAGCTCCAGTCCAAGGCCTCCAGCAGGCCCAGTGCCTCCCGGACCTCACCGCAGCGCAGCCTCTCCTGCAGCAGCTCTCCTGGGCCCAGCCGCCCCCCCGTCAGGGCTCCTGACACACACAGGTGCAGTTCGGATACAGTTCAATTCAATTAAATCGAATCAGTTTAAAAAAAAAGGTGGCACAGGATGGAATGAGTGTTAAATATTTAACAGAAAAAAGCAAATCAACTTCGTAGAATGACTGATTTTTTTACTAGCTTACGGTAGCATTCGTTTCTGCTTTGTGAAAAGTCATTAAGGAGCACTGAGGCTCTGTGGATCCCACAATAATAACCGGGAGGACTTCGGTGAGCGTCCTGTGGATCGATCTCAGCTCTGAGGCTGCACCAGACTGACTGGACTGGCATTGACGTGTCAATCAATTAGCCAGGAGGTCCGCTCAGTGTCTGAGAGCTGCTGCTCAGTTAAAACAAAGCAGAGCAGCACAGCTCATAGTTTGTTTTGGTTACCTTCATTAAAGTGTCTCCAAGGGTTGAGGGTACTTAGGGATCTTTAACCTCAAGTCACCTGAGGACAGCGTCGACTGCTCTTAGCTTTTTAGATGATAAATTAAGCTTTCCTTTAATTTGTCCTTCACTAAACACTGGAGGAGAAGGTTTTGTTGCCTATGGGGTGGAGGGGTCCCATTGGTCCGAGAAAAGGGGCAAAGGCACATATTGTTGTGATTCTACTGGACAGAAAACAGAGATGCACCCCTTCCACTCACACATGTGCCAAATAAAACATTGTTCTGACTCTAACAGGCTCACAGAGTGAGACGCGGATGTGGCCGTCCAGGAAAACTCGACACCATTGTCAAAGTAACTGTGGGAGTCATATCTGTGAGTGTATGGGTGGGGGTGGTACGGGCAATTAAATAGACAAGCTGGCAATTAGCAAACCCCCAAATCCCCTAAAGAGACGCCTAATGTGGCTAATACATCAGCTGAGCAGCTTGTGTGTGTTTGTGGGTGCTGCATGTGTGTAAATGTGCGCCGGATCCAAGATTAGGGTGGTGATGTCGGCCCCAAGTTCCCTCTCAGCACAGACAGAGGATCTGAGACGGGTCCACTCCACCCCGCACTGTCTACACCAACTTATTCAACCAGCCCAGTTCAATGTCACTGCCTGAGGAGGGTGTGCGACAACACAAAGCACACAAAGATGTCCGCTTGGACAGTGATTAAATCTGGTTAAAAAATAGGGACAAAAGACTTTCAGTTTGTGCAGTTTGGAATTAAATTATCACATTTTTCTCGTCTATAAGCATAAGATCCAACCATGCACTAAAAATTCACAAGTCTATTTGTAATTTTTTTGCATTTTTACACTGGAAACATGCTCTGGAGGATCTCTTAAATTATTTTTAAATGGGACAATTTCATTATGATTATAGTATGAAAGGAAAGACTCCAAAGTTCATGCTGAACTAGACTGAAACGGGATAAAGCTGCTCTCATATTTTTCTTTGTCCGATGGTCCTTCATGAACACACAGCCAGCTTGTGGTTGCTTAAAGTTTTCAGACTGTTGCTGTGCTCAAATAAAATCCTAATAAAATTTCATAACAACAGTGTCAACTGACACAGATTCCTGTTACTATAACATAAACTACCAAAGAGTTAGAAATGAGAGAATGCCTTGAATGTAAGTTGAACAAACCCCCAAAATGTGTCAGTCTAGAGCGAGAAACCCACAGCTAGTGGGCAAATAGCACAGACAGGAAGTCCCTGAATGAGCAGGTTCCAAAAGCAAATCAGTCTTTAGTTAATATTGTTCTCGCAGACTATTATTTCTGTTGTTTGTTTTTTGTCAAACTCGACCATTTAAAAAATGCTAAGACAGTAAATCCTTCATTACACTGGGCAGGGCTCCATGAGCTGACAGCAGGGTCACGCAGCAGATGTGCCGACTGTCCTCTGACTGCCGCTCAGACGCTCCAAAAGCAGCAGTGAACAAACCAGGGAGTTTGTCACAGTAACCACGGCTGTCTTTCACAGCAAGTCCACGGTTCCGACAGACCATTAATCCATCTTTAAAAAGGTGGGGATGGCTTTACTTTCTAATCCTTACAACCATCCATCAATCCATTCTCTACACGTGCTTGATCCAGGTCAGAGCAGTGGGGAGCTGGAGCCTCGCTCTGCAGACGTGGGGCTGAGGCCGGGCACATCCTTCACAGGTTGCCAGTTCATTACTATTTCATTCATTAATAATAACCATTATCATCCAAACTAGATGCATTATGACCTTTTTTTTCTTCGCCTAGTAAGTGCACTTTTGAAATGGGCCAAACTTGCACTTAATTTGTTGTCAATGTTACTTTAATGAAGAGGTGGAGTAGATCTGGTTTTCTATTTAGTGTCAGATACTTCTCGCCACATGTGTACCCTGTTACGTAAATGCACTTTAAACACGCATAACGTTTTAAAATGTTCCCATTTCCACTAGAAAATGCCTCTTTTTCCTGCGTGGCATGCAGCTGGTTCCCCGGTCTGCTCCTCCACAGCCTGCACCGGTGCAGGCCCAGCGCGGCCAACGTGTGCCCAGATGAGATAACACGGTGCAGGCAGGGGAGTGGGGGCGGGGGGGCACCAGAGAGACCTGCCTCCCATGGAAAAAAGGGAACTTGGAGCCAGGCCAAGTCTTTCTTCCTCGCCGCCTTCCGGCTCACTCCTTCTGCCATGTTGCGGGGCCGTATGAAACAAGTCAATACAGAGATGGAGCTCGAGCAAACAAACAAATGAGTTGGAGAGCGAGTGTGTGCGTGTGCACAGGCGCACGGCAATAGTGTGTGTGTGTGTGTGTGTGTGTGGAGGGGGGGAATTATCATGGAGAAAAGACGTGCAGTGACTTTCTTCATCAAAAACCTTGGCAGACGATCAGAGAAGTGTAAGCTATTGTTGGAAGACACCCTCCCCTTTCGCTGTGCACACAGGCAAACACAGTCGAATACACACATCTCCCACCTTCCACTCTCCACCCCCACACGGCAGCTTTCAAACTTCAGCAGAGTTGCTGCCGCTGTCACATCTTCTTTCCAAAGTCACAATTAAAGATGCTGAATGTGTGTGTGTGTTACAGGGTAGGTGGCTGCTTTGGAAAAATTTTGATTGGCAAACTTTATCTGGGGCGGCCCGAGGGACTGTGCAGCCCCCGTAAACGATTTATCGGAAAAATGCATCCCAGAATGCACCTGGGGGGGCCGGTGCCCCGGGGCGATTATTGAATGACCTCTGAGAGCGTGACTCCTGCTCACCTTCCCGCCCGACAACAAATTAACTTTCCTCGGCGGTGCGGAGGCACCAGGACGGCCCGCCCTGTAGCGGTTTCCACCCGGCCGGATCAAACTGAGCAGAGGTCACCGGAGGGTGGAGTTCACCGACATTACGAAAAGGTAACCCAGAATATTTACTACTCAAAAACAATTTAGGGGGTGTTAAAAGTTACAGAAATGTCTAAATAAAGTCTACGTCTAATCAAATGATGATAAAAATTCCAGTTAATTTGGAGGAAAGGGTAATACAGGATTCCTAAATCCTTTTCTCCAGATGGTGGTTTTAGTATAAGTTGCCAAAAATGTGCTTGATTTTCAGGTGAAACCCTTAAATTTACTGTATGTTGATGTCTTAGAACAGAACCATGATTTTCTGATAAAAACTGAAGAACTATTGTAAAAATTTACCAAAAATGTCCCAAAAAAACACATTTTCCACAGCTCATTCAAGGGCCTTTTGGCTGCCATGTTATTGGGCATCTTTTATCCTCTTTCACCTACCGAGTTTAAATTTCAGAGCTGCTAGCGGCCCCCCGTTAAACACCAGAGTCAGCAGGTCTGTCCCCTCCGGGCCTCCGTCCGGCCCCGCCCCCCACTTTATCCCGGCCACGCCTCCAGAGCAGCGCAGGTGCTGGGCGAGGCTCAGCGCGGCGGCTGGAGCCGCCTCCTCCGCCACCAGGGCCACGCGTATAGCTGCCAGCGCCACATCAAAGCACGCCAGTTCCTGCCGTCCTCCCGCTACCATGGCGACGGCCCCAGCAGGGTGCCAGGCCAGGAGAGTGGGTGGCACGGGGCTCTGGGCCAGCAGCGAGACCCCCCGCCTCTGGTCGTGCAGGACCAGGGAGGAGTCCCCCAGGCCCAGGAGCAGTTTGGTCTCGGAGGGGTGGCGGCTGCAGGAAATGGCGGCCGATGGCAGCGAGATGCGGGCGCCGGACAGCCGGTGCACGCGCCCTCGTGCACACTCGTACACGCCGCTGTCTGCGTAGGAGACCGGGCCGGACCCCCGAGGCCCCAGGGGGAGCTCCACCGTGAGGATCTGGTGCTGCTGGAGCTGGCTGAAGCGGCAGTCCAGAGGGCCGCCTTCGGTCCGGACGGAGCCGAGCACCTGGAAGAGGAGAGGGGAGTTTCAGGGGTTTTACAGTTCAGTTCAAACACTTCCTGCTTAGACTTCTGCTCAGAGGTTCCTGCGTCTCACGTGTCGGCTCTGGAACTGACAGCTACAATTCACAGAAACGAAAGACACAGATCATTTATATAACACAGTCTCACAGCGCTTTCCAAACAGAAAAGGTCAGACCCTACTCTGAAGTTAATTACAGAAACCCAACAATTCCAAATTGTTGGGTTTAATCTCATAACCAGCAGAAACAGTAGACTGAAGTGTAGCACCATCTCCTCCGGCTGTCCTGGGCATGGGCGGGTCACTGGGGGGGGTTAGGGTTAGAGACCAATGGGCCACCTCAGAACACTGGATGTAAAAAATGCTATTGCTATCAATTGGATAAGACTTTTTGAGCAGATGTCTGTGTTCAAACGGTACTCGTCTAAGAGCTAAATTATCTCACAACCCTGTTTTTATCTCCCTTTTTGGGAGGTGTTGTTTTTAGAGTGAAGACAATGGTTAATTTGGTTGAAAAGAAAAATAGTCTTCAAAATGCTGGTGGTGTCAAAACCATCTTAATTCACTATGCAGCTACATCACTGTGCCTGCTCACAGAAATGAGCTGTTCAACATCGATTGATGTTTACACAGTGAGCAGCTCCTCCTTCTTACAACTAGATTTGGACTCGTTTGTGTATTCTGAGCTAAACTGCTCAAATGAAGAGTGAGGCAGAACATCAGAGAGGAGACAAAGAGAGAAATGAGCCACGCCATGGAGAGAGCTTCAAGCCCCCTGGAGACGGTGGAAATAAAGACCTTCCACGTTGCTCACAAACACCCGGCTGCCAATCAAGACAGCTAATGATAAGAGCTCCATTTTCACTCAAGGTCAACAGCATCTTCTCCCAGAGCATGGCACAGCTTGGCACCCGGCGATAAACAACCTCCACTGTTTACCTGAGTGAGGAGCCAAGAGCTCAACACTCAGGCATGAAAAGACACGAGCCGTCTTTAGATGATATTCGAGGAATTATTTGACCAAAGGTGAAATCTTGAATGTGGAATATTTGCTCCTGGCCTTCATCCAGTCGGTGGGCACAAAGGCCCTGCTAAGCAAACAAGCCCTGACAGAGAAGACGATAGTCCCTGTCACGGGTGGTGCTGGTGATAAAACACCCACATCGAAACCCGGAAAAAGGAGCCGGCTGACAGGAGACAGCAGCCCGAGCTGAGCAGCAGTCCAACACTTCCACAGCCCCTAACAGAGCTTTTTCAGAGGGGATTTCACCTTACCAAAGCCTCTATCGGAGCCTTGCATTGACCGTGGCAGCTTTGGCTAAATGAGCCCATTTCTTTTCGCCGTGTAGACAGAAAGAGGGATCGGCTGCTTGCCCGTCTTCTTTTCCTTTTGCAAAGCTGCTCGGCCCAGTTTTTTGGCAGAGCCTGCCAAAAAGGGACTTAGAGGAAGGAAGGGAAGAGTTGTTTTTCTTTTTTTCTTTTTGCCTGGTCTACAGCAGGAGAGAGGCAGATGACTGTCCTCCTGAAAGCTTTTCTTCTCTCTAATCCCTCAGAGCCAGCTCCTGCTGCTCCCCAGGGGGCAAATGCTGTGTGTGTTTGTTTGAGGCAGCAGGCAAAGAGGTGCTCGATTCAGGTAAAAGGTGGCGCATCCTCGGGATAGCTACACTCATGCGGGGACAAAGTGACACGTGCGTTAAATAATCTGAAATACAAACACAAAAGCAGACAGAGGCCCACGGAGTCCATCCCACTGGATGTCGTCAGAGAAAGCGCTTGACCTACTTCAATGCTGCGAACCACGACCCTCCCCAGCCACAGCTCACGCCTTTCGCTGGTCGTCCCGTGGCCTGTTTACTGGCAAAAACAGGGCGAGGGGGGGCAGCTGATTCAGCAGGTGGAGGACAACATCAGCAGGACAACATCAGCAGGCCAAAGCAGCGAGAGCTCAACCCACAGCAGACAATACTCCCAGGAGTTTAGGTAACCACATCCAGCACAAGAACCACCACAGATTACACTCAGAATCAATCTCACTGCTACTTACGATGTATCTGAACTTGGTTAAGTAGCTTTAGATTTACAGTACAGGATATGTTTGCATGACTTCTGGTTATAGTTCCTTCGAAATGATTTCAACTGGCCAGACATTTCAGCCTTAAACATCTGTGGATTTGTCACTGTGCATTCGTTATTCTATACATTTGTATCTATTATCTAACTGCAGCCACCACTGAAACTTTATAGATTTCTAATAAAACTCATCAGACCAAGACCGAATCTTAATCTTAAAGAGTCTAAAACAAAACTGACCATAAAGAAGATACTGACCTGGTAAAATAAAAGAATAAATATTATGGTCTCATAATAGTGAAGAAATTACTTTAATGAGGATTATTTTATGTACGCCAAAGCAAACAAATAAATAATAAGGAAACAATGTGTCTTTTTAATGTAAAAGTTCAAAATTCACCTTCTCTGATGAAATGATGTTTGAAAATGGGAACACCAGTTTTTCCCTGGGAACAACATTATCGTACTAAAGGAGAATTTATTTTTGATTACGTGACACATTTCTCACATTTACAAAAAGGCTGTTTCTGATTCCCTGAGCTTAAAAAAGATTTAAAGCTCCACTTGACTTCCACTTTATACCTAATATGTAATTACAGCTCTGGATTAAGTGTGACATTATAATGAATATGGCTGATTCAACTAATAATCCTACAAAGTTTATTAGCTTGCACAGTTCAGACTCCAGGACATTTTTTTACACCATGCTGCGCCTTGTTTTCCTTTTTATATGAGCCCATCAAAGGCAAGCAAGAATCTCAGAGATACAGCAAAAACTTTTAAATCCAGTAAATATCAGACAAATCAGACCTTTAAGCGGATACTGATCGGAGGGCCTCTGCATCACGTTTTTCCATTTGAAAAGCATCTTTGCTTTGTTTCCTGTGTGATTTTAGAGCATTTTAACCAAAGATGTATTCACTTTGACTCACAGTTTATGGACTTTTTCTGAAATAGAAAAGAGGGATCCTGGTTTGAGTCCACGTCCATTGTGGATGTTCTCCCTGTGATAAGTGGGTTCTCCACTTCCGCTGCCCATAAACATGCACACACTGTCAACAGGGAGTCAGAGTGTTCCTCTGAGAGTGTGAGTGTGCGTGGTTAAGTCCCTGTGATGAAATGGCGACCTGTACAGGGTGCACCAATGACAGCTGGGATAGGCTCCAGTCCCCCAGCGACCCTGAATTGGATTAAGTGGGTATAGAAAATGGACGGATGGATGGAGAGAAATGGAAAAAAAGTCAACACAGTGCTACATTAGCGTAACCACACTTAATACAGAAGATATAGTAAAAAGGGAATTCTGTAAATGAATTACACAAATGATCAAATAAAAGAAACGACTAATCTAAATAGGAAAAAAGGGTAATATGGGTAACCATGAGTAACAGGAAGAGATGAAGGTTTGGACGAGTTATATTGAGTTCATTATATATATAAAAATAAATAATTCGAAAAAAGTATATATGTATACATAGAAATTGTGCCTTGGCATAGTATAACACACACACCCACATTATCTTAATTCTACTGAACGACAATTGATGTTAAATGTTTCCATGCCAACATAAAACATTTTGATTGAGCTTATATTAGCAGAAGAAGTTCAGCCTGACCTTTTGTTGTTGTCATTAAAGCTCCTCTTTGCGCCCGTGTATATAAGGTTTTAGGGCTTTTTGTCTGGCAAACTGGCAAACTTTTTCAGTTAGTTGGCCAGGAAATCACTGCCTGTGACACATTTTGCAACCAAAGCTTGAAAAATTCAAAGCTTTGACTGTGTCGTGATACGGTTCTAAAGAAACATTTCCACACTAACAAAACAGCATAGTATACTGCAGTTTTCTTTCATAAAGACAAAGGCTTTGAATCTGGGAGCATTAAATTACAAAATAGCAAATAGGATCACAAGAGAAAAATAGGACATTGTTCAAAAGAGAGATAGATAAATAGGGATGCTGGGGAAGAAGAATAAAAATATGCATAAAAGATGATGGGAAAGAGTGAAAAGTGAAAAGAATAAAGAAGAAGGAGTGGAGGAAAAATAAAAGAGGGAAATGAAATGGTGGCATGGAGAGAAAGATGCAAAGAGAGCAGAGACCAGCAGAGAAGCAGACAGACAGAGAAAGACCTCTAGTAAGTAGCTTTCTCCTGGTTATTGGTTTCAGTGACTGGTCAAAACTATTCTTCTCCATTCTTCTCCTCTCTTTCTCGTCGCCACCTTTCCCCCCCCCTCCATGGCGTGAAAGATAAAGCGGACGGGCCCAACTGTGTGGCTGGCCCTTGTTCACAGCAGTGGCCTTTTGAAGCCAATTTTCCAGCTCACGGAGCAGAGAAAGACAGGGAGAGACGGATAGAGAGAGACGGAGGGACTTGGAGGAGAGTGGAGGGATGAGGGCTGTTGAGGGTGAGGGTGGGGGGGGATTGGGAGGGACTGGGAAGTTTCAGGCATGTGAATCGGGGTTAGACTTGCAGGACTGATGTGAGAAATGTAGGGGAGGGATAACAGACCAAAATATTCCTCACACCTTCAGCTGAACCCGATCCAAACCTGTCCCAGTGAGATCACTTTCACCACACGGCACAAAGTAGTTTCTTACAATGAGTCATTACCCCAAATTCAGCTTTTCCAGCTTTAGAACAAACATTTACACCCTTAATAATACCAGCAGTTTTTAGTGTTTAGTGAGAGGAACAAATTCAAGAAAGATTATAGATTCTGAAAAAAAGATTTTGATTCAGCTGAATGCACAAAGTCAATATAAGACAGGAAAATGACACAAATACAGAGAGAGCAACGTACAAACTGTAAGGTGGCAGATAACAGGATGTCACACTGTTTAAAACCAGGAAAAGCAAACTCACAAACACATGAGCAGCCACCAAAAATGAATAAATAAAATGACTTGATTTTTTTTTTTTTAATCATGAATTAAGATTATTAAATTCCAGGAAATGGCTTGTTTGTTTGGAGGGGAGGGTGAAGGAGGGAAGCATGAAGGAAGAATCCTTGTTAACTGCCTGCATAAAGCTGGTATGTTTTCCTCTGCCCCCCCCCCCCCCCTTCATCCCACCCCCCCACACCATTGCAATGCCGTGGCTCCACTTATCAGCATGAGGAGGAGGGGGGCATATGAATTAAGACCACATAGGGAAAGAAATCAGACTTTTTTAAATACCAAGAGACTGGCTAGAAAATTGGCTTAGTGTGGCAGATAGCAAACTGAACAAAAGGAACATATATATGAGCTTGAAGTGATTGAAGTAGCTGGCGTCGCCCGATGTGTGCCCGGCGTTTGATTCCCGCTACGGCTCTTACATAAACTGCTCGCTTAATTTCACACCGCGCATCTGAAAAATGACAACAAACGCTTTCATTAGAGCGCGATGCCGCAGCCCCGCGAAGAGACTTTAATGTTCTTGAAGCGAGGAGGAAGGAAGGAGGAGAGGAGGACAGGCAGAGAGAGGGAGGGGACGGGGGGGGGGAAGGGGGGACAGAGAGACTTAAACTAGGTGAAGGAGTGTGATAAATGTGGAGAGCGTTCCAAAAACAAGAAGCAGAAAAAGCAGCAAACAACATCTGCTTTGATTATTTCAATATTCATGTCCCCCCCCTCCGTCAGCCCACCTCCAATCCCTCCCTTATTCTCTCCTGCGTGAATTTGTTTTCCGAGCATGGAATTGGTAACGCTCCCCCCTCCTTCTCTCTCTGCTGTGGTGGATATTTTGCATATCGGAGCCGAGGTAAAGGCATGAGGAGCGGAGTTAAGCCGGGCTTGGTAATTTGGGACCTTTCATCTGATGCCGGCACGGGGCCAGTCCCGCGCTGACACAGGACCGGGGAAGGAGGGAAGGAGGGAAGGAGGGAAGGGGGAAGGAGGGAAGGGGGGAAGGATGGAAGGGGGGAAGGAGGGAAGTAGGGAAGGGTTTCGCCAGAGGCCACGAGGATGTACGTTTCAGATTGTGTGCGAGTGCGAGTGTGTAGGCGTTCCCCTCCACGTCGTACCACAGCTTAGCTCTCCAGTTTATTTCATATGGTGATGCATGGAGGTGCAACACAGAGGTACCACCCCAGAGGTGACTAACGCGCCGTCCCCAATCCCATCCGTGACAACACAGGTCTCTGCTCAGATCGGCGGCTTTGTCGCCTCTTTCTCTGCGTCTGCTGTGCCTCCGAGTTTAGAAATAGACAGCTGGGGTTATGATTTGTGTTGCTAACTTTAAGGCTGTAAAGGTATTTGCTACCTTAATAAATGTCGTCATGGACACATCCACAATTTTATGCCTTTTTCGGGCTCAATGCTTTAGTTGTTTTTTTAATGTTTTTGCAGGGTTTCATCATTTGTTAAAGTATTTTAAACCAAGCTTAGCCTGTTCTCATTATATCCCCGTGCCAATAATGAGGGGTGATGCAAAAAATGACTCAATTTAGGATGTTTATACACAAAGAGCATCCACAGTCTTCGATTATCTGTGAACAAGCACAGTAATGTGCTTACAGTAGCATAACTTCAGCAACTGAAATCAGTGACTTACACATACCTGAAATTCCTTCAGTTTAAGGGGAAATCAACAGGAAGCTTTACAGAAAAAAACTCCTTTCCCTCAGAAGACGATTTCCTTTGCTGAACAGGAAGCAAAGGCAGTAAGTGAAGTCAAGTACCAAACAAATTGAATCGATCTTTAATAAACTCTGCATTCGTCCATGTGGTTTCTGCCACTTATCCAAGTCTGTGTTTCTGTAGCAACAGGATCCTGGGAGATCTGAAGGTGTACGAGGACAGATGAAATATCAAGACTGTTCTGATTCCTGCCATGAGATCCCATGTAGATTGGAGGAGGTAAAAATGACTCGTTAAAGGAGACACGCCCCTCAGACAACTTCCACCATGTAGAAAAAGCAAGCAGTCCGAGGGGAAGGTTTAAAGTTGGGTTTTAAATGCTGATCAACCTTTGATCAGTAGGTATTTTGTACACGCTTCAGAGCTGGATCTGAGGAGGATGGCTTAACTAGTCAATGTGTGCCTCACACTTTACGATAAAAGGACTACATGAGCCTGGGAACAGATGTAAGGACCCATTGACCAGGTTTGGCTGCTGATTTATGGTCTTTACGGTAGTGCTTTAAAACCCAGAAACCTATCAAAGCACCCAGAATGGAATCTGGAAAGCGGGCCCATGGTTTGAATCCTGGATTCCCGGGTCGTCTTTTTGACGGCCTATAGCAGGGAGCACCCCGCCTCTCAGCCAATGGCGGCTGGGATAGACTCCATGGGTAGAGAAAATGGATGGATATCTATCTCTAACAGCCGTTCCATGTAGGTAAACGTGTGTTTGTACCTTGAGGCCTTCGGTGGGCGAGCAGCTGATCAGGACCAGGTTGTTTCTGCTGGTGTCTGTGGGGCTCCACTGCCACGGCTCCTCTCCACGCTCCCCCGGGTCCCACCAGCAGAGCGCCACATCCTGGAGACGGTTCAGACCGACGTGTCGGCGTATGCTGCGGCCCCGCCCTCCCACCTCCACGCACTCGACCTGCACGCAGAAAAGCACGCCGAGCAGAGGGTCAGGGAGGGCGGGAAAAACAGAGGAAACTCAGATAAAATGCACCTTGTGAAAAGGGGGGCAGTTACTGGTGTGATTAATCCATTTGGTTTCACCTTGCTGGTGTGTTTTCAGCACCCGAGGGCTCGCGCGTTTTCACCTCTGAGGCCCCAAACATCTTCCTTGTCCTTCCCAGATTCTGTTTTTGTTTATGTCTGAGCTTGTTTTTTATCTTCCATTATTAATGTCTGTGAGGGTTTTGTTCTATCGGGCTTGTTGTTTCAGTGATGTGCATATTTTTGGGAAGGTCTGCCACGCTCTACAGGCCACAACAAAGAGATGCACAGTAATGAGCTCTCGTGGCGCTTGAGGGGGGGGGCATGCACACACACACACACAGACAGACACACTCATGGGTTTCTGCATGTATGTACACAAACACAACTGCATAAACAAGCGGCAGCCGTCATATATAAACACACGTTTATAGACACAAAAGTGCAGAGCCTCACAGGAGGTGAAATTACAGGTCTCACACTTTGACCCGAACCTTTCATTTACACCACGGCTCATTCCCACTCCTCACACACACACACTCACATATTAATACGGGCCTTTCATACACTCTTTATCTCCAGTCACACTCACTAACAGAATAAAGCTGTGTCGATGGGTGACACACATGCACACACACATATCCCTGACCTCTGTCATGATGCGGAAAAATGGCTGGGACCCGGCAGATAGCGAGAGGACGGAGGTGAGGAGGGAAAAAGAGCCAAGAATAAAGGGTGTTAATGAGGATGAAAATGATTGTTTGGGTTTGGAAAGAAGAGTAAGAAGAAGGTAAGAGAGGTGACGGACTCCTTTATGCACTGCAGCTTTAGGGAAACGGGAAGAGGGGGAAGAAAAGATGCCTGAATTAATGCATGAATGAAGGGCAAAACCGAGAAAAAAGTCGAGAATAATTGGCATTTTTGTAATAGATCAATGAAATGTTTGGGCCAAAACAAATCTTTTGAAACAGGGAAAAGAGCAGTCAGTTGTAACATCAAATCCCACCGACCCGACATGGATGGAGCAGGAAATACGGGAATGTTTCTTCACAAATGAATGTGTCAATACAAATAAAATAAAATAAATAAAAAAAGGTTTATAAGCAAGCATACATGCAGAAATTGGTCAATTGAGAAGCTGTGCTGTATGAGTCGAGGAGATTTGAGATTCAGTGGTCCATGCCTGCCCTCCTTGCCCCCCTGGATGGGAAATTTGCTTTGGACACAGAATATGCCTGAAAATGTTGGAGGAACATGTGATGATAAAGGGAACAAAGAGTTTCCCCGAACAGCTGAACAGGAGATCACTGACAGATTAGAAATGAAAAGAGGGGAGAAAAAAAATCAGAAAATCACTGGGTTAATAACACACTCTATCTCTCTTCCCTGTATGCTCCCTCCACCCCTCCATCCAAACCCATCTCTTCACTCTTTTTTACTGCTGGCGTTTGCTGGTCAGCAATAATCAAAAACCACTTTCTGTGGGCCGGATTAGTTTAGGCCCCCCCCAACGCCCCCTACTCTCCCTTCTCCAGCTTAGCCCACTGGACCAGGGAGATGCGTATGTGTTTGTGCATGTGTGTGTTTGTTGGGGGGGATGGGCAGCTGAGTGTGCGTCGCACCTGTGTATGTTGCAGGTTCCATGCATGCATGTGCATGCACACTGACAGAGGCGTGTGCAGTGTGGAGTGGTGGCGGGGACTGAGGGGGAGTCTTATCAGGACTCTGCTGCTGGAAACAGATGCACTGCAGGAACGATTGCTCTCAGACACACACTCACACACACACACACACATTACCACACGCACGCGCCCAAACGCGCACCTCCGCTAAAAAGGCCTGGCGGTAATATGATAATGCTAAGGTTAGCGGTTAGCCAGCTACAGGAGGAGGACACAGCGGTTCTGTTTGGGTGGAAGGAGAGGGCGGCGTGATCAGATCCATTAGCAGCATCCACAGAACGCATCCGTGATCAGACTGAGAGGAGAAACTAACACACCTGAACACAAAGCTGCAAAGGCCTTTGAAATACTTAAAATCATCTTAGCACCATTTTGTAATTTGTCTTTTGAAAAATGTTTACGTTTTGATGACTCTCCCTGGACAGGTGACCAACTTCTCGGTAGGGAAAGCAGCCATTGGCTGTCCAAGAAGTCAGTTAGTTACTTTATAACCTCATTTACATAACTGGAAATGTGTGTGTGAGAAAGGAGTAATGCCATTTGAAGTCAGTATAGTGGTTTAAATACTATGAATATAGCCCCAAAAAATCACTAAATTGGTAAAACAGAGCAGTCATGCACATAAAACAAAAACAAAAGTTTGAGAAATGGTCGAATTTATGTAGTATCATGTTTCCATTAGAGAAAATTATAAAGGGTGTCTCCACGTTCGTCTCTGTGGAGGAGAAGTTAACCTACAAGGATGAATGTTTTCACAAAATGATAATCTGCAGTAGTGTAAATATTTGAGCGGATATCAGACTGAAATGCAAAACCTGGAAGCAGGTAAATAAATAAAACCACAGACGGTAAACAGAACGCCCGGGTCATTTTATTTGAAAGCTAAGGGCTGTATCCCCTCAACAATTAACCCATACTGGATGTCCTAATAGTTTCAGGCATAAAGCGAACTTGGGAAACACCCAAAATACACTCAAGGCATCGAAACATCCCACCTTCTGTATGCAGAGTCAGTTCGTGGGGCGCTAAAGTAAATAGTTACTGCTAATCTGCACACTAAAATTCATGCAAATTTTAAACAGTTTTCTGTGGTTTTATGGATTTAATGTTGTCTTGAAAAAATCCGATTATGCCTGTGTGCACATTATACAATATACATATATTACACATATCATACCATGTTTCCACAGCCCATCTGTTAAGGATTATACAGGCAGGGATACTCTAGACAAACAGGATAATATATCACTTATCAAATATGCAGTATATAGAAAATTGTGCTATCTATAGCTTTAAAAGATCTGATTTAGTGTTGCACTCGAGACAAAAAATACTTATAAAAGGGCTGAAATCAGGTGGGATGAAAAAAGAAGCTTGCAGTGACACAGGCTGTTTTGTCAACACTTGTTTTTCTCACTCGCTTTGTTTCGATCTCTTTTTTTTATACTTGTTTCTCCCTAAAAAACAGCGCAGACACACACACACAGCTTCAGTGTGCTCCACCGTACCTTGATTTCAGAAGGTGAGAGTTTGTCTGTTCTCCTGCCAGTCTCCGGGGAATCCTGGTTCTTTTTGTTCAGGTAGACTGCAGCCACTTGGCTCTGCTCCAGGAAGGACAGCAGAATCAGCCGATCGCTCAGCACCGCTGGGGATGACATCATCGCACATAATGCCGTGATTCAAAACAAAAACGACAACAACAGCTCGATACCATCCATGTTAACCTTAAGAGTCTGCCGTCTCTCTATAAGACGTAACGTTCTCTTGTGTTTTTTGTTTTACTTTCATCTTAATCCTCTGAAAACGTCATACATTTAATAAGAAAGAAGAGATCTAAACAAGATATAAACACATAACACTATTAAGATTTTGGTAAGTTTCCATTCTATCAGCAGTTTAATTTTCTTATTAAGCGTCGCTGCTTGGGAAAATTATTTCCAGATAACATTGGGACATGAATGATGTTGGGTTTTCATACTTTCTGTAAATGATCCAGATGACACGTTTTTGTTTTATTAGTCCTTCAACTGTTCAGACCAAACTCCGCCAGTCGAAAACAAAAGTTCACATTAACGTCTACAGACAGACAGAAGACCTGCTCCCTTCTGCTTTGCTACTCTTTCCTTTACCACTAGTTTTGTTCTCTCCTCTCCAATACTTCTGGAGGCTTTGTATCTCTTAGCTTCCTGTCAGTGTGCTGAAGGCTCCAGGGCCTTTTTTGTGGTAGAAGAACACACTTGATCCTGTTCAACTCTTCAGGAGCTGCATGGAAACGCCGATTAGCAATTAAGCCCCCCTCTTCTTCAAATTAATCTGTTTATGAAACCAATTAAATGGAAAGGAGGGGGTTGTTACACATGTCGCTCAGATATCCCGCTTTGAGTTAAATGAGTGAGGCTGCACCCCGAGATTTAAAAAAAAAAAAATCTAACCGTCAATTAACCCTGACATGTGTGTATTTATAAACAGGAGGGTATTGGTATGATTATGCTTCAAATCTTCCTGTTGTGTGAAAATTTTAAATTAATATGCAAATATTAAGAAAGGCAGAGAGAAAAACCTTGCAAACACAGAAAACTAGCACCATAAATCAGGTCATTTGAGTCGGGCTGTCAGAGCTGGATTATGAAGCATTTGTAACAAAAACTGGTTCAAAGCTTAAACTATTACAACAACAAAAAACACGCGGCCATTAACAAAGCCTTAGCTTTCCGAAACAACGTTTAATGCAATAGTAAGCGTCTTTGTGATAGATTACAAACAAATCAAGTTAAATGCAGTTTAGTATTGATCTCTATGGGTGTCTATAAACGGGATTAAGATTAATCCCATTCTTTTCCAAATGAAGGAGCGGCTCCGAAACCAGGCTGTGGCCCAATCTGGGACCAGGTGGTTGATATAGTATTAAGAGCCAGACCTGCATGACCGCCCCCCTCTCAAAACCACCCCCAGACACCCACACGCAGAGAGGAGCCGGGCTCATGGTGTACACTTGTAAAGTACCCACACAGTCACATGCACAGATAGCTACATATGCATTAATGCATGCATGCCTGCAACACATGGACTAACGCATTCATGCCCACATGCAAAAAGCCTCCGCGTGTTAAAGTACACACATGGTCTCCCCGCGCACACACAGACACACACACACAGAGTTCCCTAAATCCATTTAATGCCATCTCCTCTGCAGCATGTTGACATAAGAGGCCAATGGGCTTAAGCAAAGCACATTTAAACATGGGTAAATGAAACCCGCTATGAAAAATCACTTAAGGATGCTTAATCGTGGAGCATATGCACAGCTTGGCCCAGCCATCGGCCAAAGGAAGCCGGTAATACTTTGATGGTGTAAAATATTTGTAATCTGCTGCTCGGCATGATGCAATCAGAGCTGGCGGTGGAAGCCCGGTGGTAACTGGCATTCAGGTTGCAAAGTTTAACACAGAGCAGAAAGCTCGCCTGAAACAAAAACAGACCTGGCTGCAGTCGCTTCTTGTCTCACACGTACCAAACAAACCAGGCCTGGCATTTAGCAGAATCCATGCAAATCAGAAAAAGGGATTTTCTTCTGCATTCAAACGCTCACAACCTCTCTCTGCTTTAGAAAGTTGTCAAATCCTGTTTGGAAAATGAAAATGAATTCTGTCATTACACAGAAGCTTACAGTTTAATTTAAGATTCCACTGGAGCTGCGATCCATTGCCCAAGAAGAGTAAATTAATAAGCAAGTATTTTGATGATTGACTAAGGGTTTCAGTCATTTTTTGCTTGGAACAGTCAAATATTTGCTGGGTTTGGCCTCCTGCGTCTGGATATTCTTTGTGTTTTTATGCAAAATGAAACATAATTAAAGCTTTTTTCATTCTGTTTTCAGCAAACGGAGTTGGTTGGATAAAAGTTTAGAGAAACAATCAGAAGACGCAAGGAAATTAGTTTTGAGATAAATCAATAATAAAGACTGTTGAGAGTCAAAACACAGCCATAATTCAACAATCATAATAATTAATTCCTCCTTCCCGACACACATGCACGAAGGGGGAGAACTCGATTGCAAGTGTAAACAGTTTTATTAATGGTGGATTGTTAACGTGGTGGACAGAGCGATCTGGTCTGGCTCTCGGCTCTAATTGTCTCCAGCTAATTTAACAAGTGGCAGATGTGAGAACCTCTAACCTCCTACAGCCCCCCCCCCCACCCCCCCCGCCCCCCAAACATGCACGCACAATCCCCGGAACCCACCCTCTCACAACCATTACTCTAATAATTAGTGCCTCTGAGGCTTTGAATGCAGCACGGCAGGAGGTGAGTGTGTACCTGTGTGTGTGCGTGTGTGTGTGTGCGTGCACGTGTGTCCTGCCTGCCTCATTTTATTGTGTGTAAATGCGAGCGGACCGACAGAAAGTGTTTGTTGGTCTGTGGAAAAAGAAGAGGAGTGTGCGTCCAGCTAACAACGCGTGCGTGTGTGTGGGAGTGTGTGCGCACTATAGGGGCTTTATCAAGTGTCTGGAGACCCCAGCCGGAAGTAGGGAGGGCGGTGTTATGAACAAATAATTGATACAGAAAGAAAGAAATAATTAGCAGATTTGGGCCGGTGTCCACGGCCTCTTATTCTCTCCTGCCAGGTCTGCAGAGCGAGGGAGCGCAGCGCGAGGGGGGCGGCGCTCCCTGGAGGAACGTGCGATGGAGGAAAAACACTGATGGATGCTCTTAAGGGAAGGCCCCTGGACACACACAGCACAAAAGGATTTGCCCGCAATTAGCTAGCAGAGCCGCCCGGCTCACCTGTGGCACCTGTTATGAGTGTGAGAGTGCTTGTGTGACAAAGTGGGGAGGAGAGTGGGGTGTGCCTTCAGTGTTTTTCCTCCATCGCACGTTCCTCCAGGGAGCGCCGCCCCCCTCGCGCTGCGCTCCCTCGCTCTGCAGACCTGGCAGGAGAGAATAAGAGGCCGTGGACACCGGCCCAAATCTGCTAATTATTTCTTTCTTTCTGTATCAATTATTTGTTCATAACACCGCCCTCCCTACTTCCG